AGCGGTCAGTCACTGAGAGTACCGCTAACACACATGCGTCAAACAATTGCAAAATACATTGTGTAGTGAGTTTCTGTCTCAGTTTGTGGAGGTACCACGGTATTCATTTTCAAGAAAGAAAATTAAGGCTTAGACCTTAGTTTGACAGTTGTTTTCTGTCTGCTCTTTCTTAGAAAGTACATTGCATCACAATGGACAGAAATTGCTAAAGTGCAAATACAATATTAGGACAACAAGTTGTAGGAACAAGCAAATCATCTGCAGGAGGGTGTCCAATGCATTATTGAAGCTTATAATGATTAAATAACAGTGTTAGCAGGTCTAATGTATGAATGATGTGGACATCAGAGATTTTGAGTCAAGGGTTCTGGAAATAAAAAGAAGTGCAAAAAAACCCCAAGGAAAATAAAATCATAAGAAAAGCAATTAGAGATATTCTACTATAACAGAATGATACTGACCTTCTCTCAGAAACAGCTTGTATTTTTGTAGTATTGTGGCCTGTATTATGCAGAGGTTATACCAAACCATACCAGTATGTTCTCAACTTCAAAATTCATCGTTGTAGAACTTAAGTGAAAGTGTTGTAATATCACAGTGAAGAACATGGCATGCTGCCTTATCATTCTCTATCATGGTTTACTCTATAATGAAAGAGGAACACGTGATATATGCAAGGAATAGCAAAGATATATATTTTTGCTCATAAAGAAAGTCTGATTTGTTATATAATTTTCTTCAAATTGCTTTTGCACAGCATATATTTGTTAATTAAGTACATTAAAGTCAGATTTTTTTCATTAAAATTAGCTCATTTATAATGGTGCGTTAACTAGGTTGTTTATAAAGAAAGAGAGCTCTAAAGGCAAATTGCCATGAATAAAAGCAAGAAGAGATCTGAACTGATTTTAATAAAGTGCTGAATAACTTATTAGTGTCTTCAGGTTGCTCCAAAATAATTAAAAAATGACTTGTCTTTAATTTCTTCTTAGTTTGTTTGTGCAGATGCTGGAACAAAACTAGCTGAGTCAACGATCTTGCATAAACAGATGATTGCCTCTATGCCTGGAGTAAGTACTGAATCAAACTCCATCTCTTAGTTTTGGTTTTTAAAAAATGCATCTTATTCAGCTCATTTTGCTTTGTTTTAGTGTTCTTTCCGTTTAATTTCTCTTCTGGTTGGCAAGGTGTATTGCAGGCAGAGGTTGAGATGCTTCTTCCTTTTTATTAATGTTGGAAGAGTTCTGAACTTGATGCTGCTTCCCTTACTTTCACTGATAATCTTTAGTGATGTAACTGACTTTAGCTGGAGCCTGCGATCAAGAAGTCAATGTGTGGGGAACAGACCAGCTGAATGCCTCAAAAAATGGTAGCAGGGAAGAAAGCTACAAGCCATTTCCTCCGTTCTCACAAAAGATTATCTGGTTAAAGAAGGGAGTTAATGGTATTTTTCTGGTAATGTATAAGGCATTCATCTATATCCTGCAGATGAATGTAGCTAAACTGCCAATACTCATAATTGCCTAGGTGCTGAATATGCACCTGATGAATATGTGAGGAAGTAGCATGATTGGAGGTCTTGACTTGTTCCGTGACACATGTGACTGAGTACCCAAACAGATGGATGAGGGTTAGCCCAGGTCTGGTTCACAAGCTGAGGAAAACTCGTTTCCCTATATGTGTGTCTCTGTCAGCTTTAGGAGTGACCTAACAGGATCTTTCCCATATATCTTCTGAAGTGTGTGATTTTTTTAATGCAAATCTTTAATAGCACTTTTCCTCCCAACAGAATATTTTAATTAATCCTTGCTTTAAATAGTTAGACTAACATTGGTGTTACAACGTATGATAGGAAAGCGATCATTTCAGAAGAAATCATAGAGAATCAGACTGCCTGCTACTTGAATGAAACAGAATAGATGGTTGGAGAGAAGTTTTTTGCAACTGAGCATTATCTGAGAGATCTGAGATCTGAGTATAGTGTCTTTTGTAATTCTATTATTCAATATTTTAGAACCCATGTGGAATCCTTAGTTCATCTAAACTGGATGGAGGATATGCTGACAGGGCTGCCAGTGACCTTGTTTTACTGTTTGTTATTCTGTCAAGGGAACTGACAGGCATAGCATTTGAAAAGCCAGAAGGTGGTATAGTTCAACACCGTGTAGACTGATATTAACATACAAAAATGAGAAGTGCCCAGGTCAGTTGCTTAAAAATAGAATGCTAGCAGTTTTTCAAATTTCAGCCACTAAAACTCAATTATGGCTTAATAATTTTGTGATCAAAACTAAATCTGGTTCATTTGTATACTCAAATAGGGTAATCAGCTTCTGTGCTTCAAAGCGTAGGTAATTAAATAGAGGTCAAAGAGGAGCAGTTTTCCCTTGTAAACTTTACTGCAATGTTTTGCCCTGAGCCTATGACTTTGGATACAGCAGTTTTTGGCGACTTCAAAAAGATACCCGATTAGATAATTTCTTCATTTAGCCCCAAAAGTTAAGCATTGCTTTTACTTGGCCCCCAGGAATGGAGTATTCATAGGTCCCCTTGAATTCAGCTAGCATTATCTTCACTTCAGACTATTAACATGTAAACAGGAGTTTATATGATACTTAGTGGGTCAGCTGTATCACCTTCTGAAAGCTTCTCTCCAGGGTTCTCTGGTCTGTTCAAAGCCTTTATTTAATCCGACAGCTTTGTTCCGTTGACTGCTTTGCGCACCTTGGGCGTATCTTGTACTAGCCAAAGGCCAGATTCACAGTTCTTGCTGTGTTCTAGGAAAAGCATTATGAAAATTTGTAATGTGGGAATACCACAAGCACTACATTGAGTCCTTTTGTTTTCCCTTTGAGGTCGTTCACACAGGTCGCTTCTCAATGCTTACATCTTTATGGTCAAACTTGGAGCAGTTCATGAAGGATTTCATTTATCCTTATAGTCCTTGCCTCCCCTTTTGAAAATTGCAACTAGCTAAGTGCCATTAGAATGCTGTATTTTGAATTATTTTGCTTCAGCAATATCCCAGAAACATTTGTTAGTTTAAAAAAAGAAAAAAAAGTAACACTTAATTTTCAGTGATGTTCATTTTAGCGGTGTTTACACATGAAATACCTGAAGCCAGTCATTTAAACTGTTTTTCCATCATGATTAATGGGAACATAAGGGCATCTGTGCCTGTGACTGAATTTTGTTTTCTGGGATTGTAGCTGATTGGTTCCACTTGCAGAAATGTTCAGCTGCTTGAAGAACTGAGTTGTTAAACTCTCATTGATTTTTTAAGACTTTGATTCTGGACCACTGTAGATTTCAGGGTGACATGACAAGGATATTCTTGAAAGTTTCATTAGTTAATCTTTTATTGCTGTCACAGGTAAGAGTATTTTATGGTGCATGAAGAAGCTACAGTGACTGGGCTCTCTTTTTATACTATCGTCAGATAAGAGGGCATATTACAGTAAGAAGAAAAACATCAAAGAATACCTATTCCTAATTAAAGTAATCTAACTAAGAAGTAAAATAAAGAATTTGAGACAGACAAATTGTGTTCTGGTGAACAAGAAACAAAGACAAAAACATGAAAATATTCAAAACCTGGTACTTAAACTTATTTCTTTTATGTTCTAGTGTGGAACAGCAGCAATGGAATGCATGAGGCAATATGTTGGGGAAGTGCTGGATTTCATTGCAGATATGCATACCTTAACCAAATTAAAGGTTGGTTCTGGGCATACATTGGTCTAAAGTGCATGTGCTTTTTTAACAAAAATATGTTTTCTGTAGTGAACCTGCATGGGAGAAATGGTTGGAAGTCTTTGAGGATGACTGACAAGGGTTTTTTCCTTCTTTTTTAAAAAATGTTAGTACTGTTATAGGTTAGACGCTTCTGGTGGATCAGTAAAAAGTAGCTTATGCAGTGTTGAAATGGAGGCTGATTCAAATGTGGTGAGCACACAGTAAAAATGCAGGCTTGATGTTTCTGAAATGTTGATGATAACCTAATGATAAGCTTTTCTGAAATGTTGATGATAAGCTAAAATCATATCAAAATCACTGTGAGAAGCAGTCATGTTTAATATAACCCATGGAAACATAAACCTCCTTGCTTGTACAACTAATTACACTCTTTTGGAGGAATCCTGTGTCTCTTATGAAATCTGGCAGTAGAGTTTTAGTCCTTGTACACCAGCAACTCGGTGATCCAAGGGGAAGTTTGTCAGCTGAAAGAGGTCATTTCATCACTGGGCACAGTCAAGTAGCTGCCAAGCTGCTTTTATGATACAGAAAAACAGCGCTGTCCTGTCCTGGCTAGTACAAATCATATTGCCATGGCGTACGTGTCTGGGCTTTGGCACATGTGGTCTTCTAGGGAAGTTCTTTGACCAAGCTCTTGCATTTGTTTCTAACCTCAAGAGCCACTGTGCTTCTATAACACAGAGTGCATCTGCTAATAAAGGGTGTCGATGGTCTGTTTTCCTGATAAATCGGTATAGTGTTTCCCTGAAAGGGCCCCTCTACTGCTGCACCAGTCCTCTGCTGAAAGTTACTGGAAAGGCACTAGCGTGTTTCATGCCACAAGTTCATGCAAGCATTCTGTGGCAGGCAAGACTGAATAAATGATAACCTGTAGCGGATTTTGATACTGGAGTTTATTTATGAAACAATGAGATGAGAACTTCTACCCTGCTAGTTTCTCGCACACTCACTTGCTCACTGTCCGCCTGCCACCTCCATCCCACCTCGTACCTCAGAGGGGACGCCTTATTGCAAGTTAATAATACTTACCATGAAGGAAGAAGAATCCCAACTAAACTGAAACTCGTATCTCTTGAAACTCACAGTAAGCTTGTTTTAGTGGACAAAATATCCCTTTTGTTAAATTCTTACGCTGTTGGCCATATGCCTTGAATCCCATTGAGTTTTTAAAAAATACTCTAATAAGGGAAGCGGCCTTTTGTGCTGGAGTAGAAATTTACTTCAAAGCACAGACTAATTAATCATTTTCAGCTGAATTGGATTGCCTTCCCACTCTATCGTTTAAAGTTATTCACCCATTTCTCTTACAGTTCAGACTGCTTTCAGAATAGGTAGGCAAATGAGTCATGAATGAGGGAGAGAAACATCTGGTTTGCCAGTTCCACAGAAAAACATGAACTTATCTGAAACCAGGAATGGGGAAAATGTATTTATAAATACTTGCAGGTATCCTCTCTCCTGTGTAAAATATTTCTGTAGAAAGCTCTCTGCCATTTGCACTTTTTCCTTCTGCCTCTTCTCCCTTGAACTATAGCCTGATTTTTAGAAATGCTCTCACAATGCTTAAGTCTGATAAGATGATAACTTCTAATGCTCAGTAGGATTACTTATTTATTAAATTTTTATACACGGTTATAGGTAGTCCTAATGAACTAAAACTTTACCCAGTTCTTCACTTTTATGTTTTGAAATTAGGCGAGAAGCTTCCCAAATGTGTAGTCTGGCATCAGAACCAGAAATTGGAAAACCAGAAATCACAACCAAATGATCTACAGATGATCAACAAACCATGTTGTTTTGATTTAGCCATGTAATACAGGAATCTGAGAACAAGATTAATGTAATAGGAGAGTCAAATATGACCATAATTTTAGGTATTGTAAAGAATTAGCATTGGCTGTCTTTGGAAGATGAAAAGGCAGTTTTTATTTAACCTGACCAGATAGATAAACTTATTCCGTGGTTCCAACATAGTTGGGAAAATATTTGTAAGCATTTCTAAGTTTACAAATAGCCAGAATGTTAAACAAATTCACAACATGTAGATTCAAATTCTTGTGAGCTCATTTAATATATTTACTTATGTTACTTGGGTTTTATTAACACAGGTGTTCCTATGAAGCAAGTCCTAAGATTATCCAGCTGTACAATTTCTTACTATGAGTATGTATTATCAACAGCATCTGGACTACCAAACTAACACAAAGAATACTATATGATTTATATGGCCAATAACAATCCCAACAGCAAAAGTTTAATTTTGGTTTTCAAATTTTGAAACTTCTACTCTCTGTAGAAATTCAGTGAACAGAAATAGTCAAAGTTGTTTATTCATTTCCAGTGTCTTATTTTTCATGTCTGAGAATAATTTCTTTGAAAGAGGTTAATTATTTTCAGTCGTGCATATTAGCAACTACTGCATTATAAAAAAGGTATAAATGTTAATTCTAAAGATAATCACATTCCGATTTATTGTTTCTGTTTGGTTTATTATCTTTTTTCCCTTTGGGATAGCATTTTAATTGGTAAAGCTCCGCAAGATTTTATTTAGAAAATTGCACCATTTTGTAAGAAGTACAATGTATCTGTCTGCATACCTGTCTATCCTTTTTACCTGCCTATATAACAAAGTTATCAGATATTCATGCTGGTACATTTTTTTTTTTTTTCTCTTGAAAGAGACTTCAAGTAAGTGATTTTTGAGAGCGTAAGTTGCTGGGGTCAGGTACTTATCCATTATAAAATATTATTGATCCACTGATTTTTCTCCTGTTACAATAATTTAATAACTGACGACCTGGATTTTCTTGTGCAAAGCATATAGCTCTCCTTTAAGCAAGCAAATGCATGCAGCATGTGTTCTGTTAGTCTAGTAACAGAAGGTAATGCAAAGTTAGCTTAATTAGAAATATAGAAGTATCTCAAGAAGCACCAATGAAACATTCCTTAGAGCTGACAAAGCAGGATAATAAGTTATCTTTCCAGCATAAATATTTGCATGTTTCTTGGTAAAAGGTTTAGCCCTTTTATTTCCAGGGCTTAAAGGCATTTGTAACAGCTGAATAGTGCAACATAGTCATATTGCTGGTGAATGAGTGACAGCTTTTTTCTGTACATGTAAATGGAATATTGCACAGAGAAGGCATTTCCTGCCCAGGTGCTTTCTTGTTAAATGGTTAAATTCTTTCATCTTCACTTAAACTGTCTGGATGTGCAACCATTAGTTTGTATTCGTCAGCTGTTGAGTTTGATGATACAAAAGGTGCCTATACATTTTTGCACAATTCATATTTTGTGTGGGCTCTTGAAAATGTGGCCCTCTGTGGAAAGATCTGCATCATAAAGCTGTTGCTAATATAGAGACTGGAGGATTTTTTAAAATCTGTTTCTGAGTTTTGCTCTGTAGTTTTGTGGACACAGTTAGAGACCCTGAGAAAGGAATTGAAGGGAAACGAAATAGAATATGCTGTTGCTTGGAAGAACTTAGTTCAAGTGGAATACTCTCTTCAGAGTAGGAAATCAGATCTTTGCCTTGCAGAGTCACATGAAGACTTGTTCTCAGCCACTGCATGAAGACACGTTTGGTGGACATCTGAAAGTTGGTTTAGCTCAGATTGCTGCTATGGAAATCACACGGGGAAACCACAGAGACAACAAAGCTGTGATCCGATATTTGCCTTGGCTTTACCATCCTCCTTCTGCAATGCAACAAGGGTGAGAATGCTTTTCCACAAACAGGAATACTAAAATAAATTAGAAATCTTCACATAATTCTGTGTTTATTGCCAGATTTCATAGATAAGACTCGCAGTAGGGAATGGCGGCCATGCGACATTGAAACAGCTGGTCAGCAGCTCCCTGATCCTTAACTGAGGAGTTCATCAAGGCAATATTTAAAGTACATGCCAATGGGACAGTGGAGGTAACTCCATTGGCTTGACTGGTGTTACCCTGCAAATTAACTTGATTCTCGATCTAGATACAGACAGTGAAAAGCACACAGGTACTTGACCAGTCCTAGAATTACAGAAAATATCTTGGGAATTATAGAGAATACAATAGGAAATGTCCTTTGAAATTATGGAGTACAAATGAGTGAGAACTGTAAGTGTAAGCCTATTGATATGATGATAAAAATAGTAACTTCATCTGGTTAAAGACAAGATTGCACCAGAAAAGTGTTATTCCTTTTTAGATTATATAAGCACGTTGCTTTACAATTAGACATTGCACTAGATAGTGGATGAATACTTGAGTGTCACAAAAAAGCATAGTCCCTGCCCTCAAAAGCATGCAGTCCGAATGTCCAAGGAGAGGCTAAGGAAAGTAGAAATTAACTCCACTTGACCGATGGAGAAGTGGAACACAGTGGAAGTAAGGCATGGCGCCTGCCTCGGAGCTCTGTGGAATGAAGAATTTCCTGCCATCGCCCTGTCAGCCGTGTGCTGTCTAGGGGAGCTGAGAGGAGCATTTCCACTTGGGCAACCCTTCCCATCTGATGATTTCTGTGTGAAGAATCACTGTGTATGGAACCAGTGAATCTGTGAATGTTTTAGCCTTTTATAGAGACTATTTCTTAGACCCTCCAAATATGTTCTGTTGGACTTGTTAATGGTACGTCAAGTCCACTAAGTTCTGTGTGGCTCTAGTCTTCCCATAAGCTGTACCAGTGATCTGTGCCGCCAGCACACTGAGACTGCATCTGCCTAGTGTGCATAAGGAGACTCCATATTTTGGGGAAAACCAGAAAACTTAGCATCATTGTAAAATCCACTCTTTCTTGACAGGCCCAAAGAGTTCATAGAATGTGTCTCACACATTCGTTTGCTGTCCTGGCTACTTCTGGGGTCTCTGACACACAATGTTGTCTGTCCAAATTCTCCATCATCTTGCATGCCTATTCCACTGGATGCGGGTTCACAAATTGCTGACCACCTTATTGTTATTCTGATTGGGTTTCCAGAGCAATCAAAGGTAAGGGATTCTGTGTTTTAAGTGGAGATGTGTTATATATTGGCCTTATTATTGGAAACACTTATTTATTTCTTCGTAAGAAAAAAGGAGGGATAAAACCTTATTGAAACCTGGGATAGTTCTTCATGCATAGAAAACTGGTGATGAAATCAGTACAATTACGTTTGAGATTCAACTATTTCAAAATATCTCAGCACAGGAGTGAGGAAGGAAAAACTGAATTCGAAACTGAAGCTTTAGCAATGACCATCTCTGTAGCAAATCTCTAGAAAGTTATTTATTCTAGTTGTATAGTAGAATTGAATAACCTATAAATAATGTTATGATCAAAAGTTAATTACAAACAGTGATGGTTCAAGCACAACTTTTTTCACAAGGTGCTCTGTGCAAAAAGAGTTATTGCAAATCATAAGCCATTTGTGACAGTAGTTTAACACAGATATAGCAGCACTCTGACACCAGCCAGGTCTTTATTAGCAACAAAAGCAGGATGATCACACATTCATCTTGTACGTGAAATCCCCCTTTCTTTCCCCTCACCCAGCCAAGACACTGGCGCTTCCCATTCATTTCTTTGGCCTTTTTTTGCTCTTTCAAATACCTCTTTCCAGTTACCAAGCAACCATTGCAATGTTTGGTGCAGTCATACTGCCACAGAGCATGAATCACCGTTGCACTTGCAAACTGAGAAAACATCTCTGACCAGAAGCATCTTTCTCATAATGAAGTAGTTAATGTCCAGCACTCCTGGCGGTTCAGATGCTGTGATATATAACACGTATTAGCAAAGAGCCATGCTTGAGTATGGAAAATGAATTCTCTGTTAGCTTTCCAAAACTCACTTTCCTTGACTGTGAGCAGTTCTGTCCCAGCATGGTAGAAATGGACAGATTAACAGAACAGATGTAAGATGATGTATTTTGTACGATAGCCTTCCTTTCAGGTGATCAGAATCTTACCCCAGCAACATCTTTGAAACGCAGTCATACATGCCAGAGCCTCCAGGCCTTCCACAGATTGCACTGGAGTTTTCCATCAAGAAAGTCTCAGAACTAGTCCTGAGTAGCTGTTCTGCAAAGCTAACCTTCTCTTTAAAGGGTCTGGCCTTAATGCCATACACGAAGATTGCATGGGAGTGTGTATTTGCAAATGCAGTTTTTAGTCTGTAAATATAAACAGTTTTTAAACATGGAGAAGATGTTATCAAGTGTACTTGACTTGCTAGTTCCTAATGGGGGGGAAACGTGGGGAAGTGAAGGACCAGACTGCACAGTCGGATGCATGACAGAGGAGTGCTTTGATGAAAGCACTCCTGTATTGTATCCCAATACACTTATTTAAATAAACATTTTCCTCTATTTTCTGTTTCTACAGACATCTGTTCTGCACATGTGTTCCCTCTTCCATGCATTTATATTTGCTCAGCTCTGGACAGTGTATTGTGAACAAACAGCAGTAGCTCCGACAGTCCAAAATCAGAACGAATTTAGCTTTACAGCAATCCTTACAGCCCTGGAGTTCTGGAGCCGAGTGACACCTAGCATCCTACAGCTAATGGCACATAACAAAGTGGTGAGTCAGGTGCTGTGTACAGATTTAGCACAGATTAAACTCAGAGGGCTTGGCTGTGTTTCAGTGGAATACATCGGACTACGAATAACGTCGTAAAACAACTTTGATGCTTTTGAGAAATTAAAAGGAAAGCTAATAACTAGTGGTTTAACCTCACAGTGACCCTGAAACAGGATCTAGCCAGGGTCTGCCTGAAACAGAATCAAGAGCTAGAGTCACTGCTTGTTGGATTAAGGGCTCCCTGCATCAGGTCTCGTTTTATGTATCTTCCTGCTCTTCGCAGTGGTCCTATTGTTTCGCCTGACTCTGCCTTACAGGAGCAACTAAGTGTTTTAGGATAATTCCGTGAATATTCATTTGAATATTTTTTAGCATGTGATGGTGAAAAAATACATAAATGCTGACACTTGACTACTCATAACCGATTGGTTACTCGTCAAAAATAAGCTACATAAATATCTCTGGAAACATTTTTGAGTAATGAATGACTTGAAGGAGATATCTCTAGAGATAAGGTTGGAAAGGGAAATGTTCATTCTGTCCAGAAATTGCCCAGACCATTTTTTGGAAATAACTTTTAAGCATTTATTTATCTCAACTACTCACTGCTGTTGGAGCAGCTTTGTACAATATGAACCCAGAGGGGTCCCAGCAGCCTTCTCATAGGTGCTACCTTTGCTTCCCATTGACTAATGATTCTCTGCAGGATTAGGGTTTAGAGCTTGTTTCTGATGGGCAAGATGTATTGTGTTTTGCACTTTCCAGAAAGTCATGACAAGTCTGTCATGACTTGTCAAAACTTTTAAACTTTAACTGAGATGGTAACTAGTAGTTTTGGCTCTGGAGAACCTGATACAAGCTTTGAGTGAGAAGGATTCTTTATATGTGGGCCAGTCCTCTTAAGTCAGGTGCTCTTAAGGTTTGGGATTTTCATTCTTTGGTTGGGTTTTTTTTCTTTTTTAAATGGAGACCTGCTATCTATATGGAAATTATTTTATGTAATTCCCTTTTCCCCATGTGAAACATCTTCCACCCCAAGGCAGGTATGGACCTTTGCCCTTTCAATTGTAATTGCATGGGCTGCACTTGAATGTCTTTGAACCAGTTACTGTTCCCTTATGTCTTGTCCATATCAGGCAAGGACCACCTAAAGCTGTCTTTAAATGATATTGTAGCCTCTGATATCTAGTGAGATCTCTGTGGTTGACAAGCCACTGTTGGGAGCAGTAGTTCATGAAGCTCCATTTGAATGAAAGGGAAATCATAGAATCATAGAATGCTTTGGGATGGAAGGGACCTTTAAAGGTCACCTAGTCCATCCCCCCTGCAACTGGCAGGGACATCTGCAACCAGATCAGGTTGCTCACAGCCCCATCCAGCCTGGCCTTGACTGTTTCCAGGGATGGGGCATCTACCATCTCTCTGGGCAACCCATTCCAGTGTTTCATTACCCTCATTGTAAAAAATGTCTTCCTTATGTCCAGTCTGCATCTACCCTCTTTTAGTTTAAAACCATTACCCCTTGTCCTATCGCTATTGGCCCTGCTAAAAAGTCTGTCCCCATCTTTCCTATAAGCCCCCTTTAAGTACCGAAAGGCTTCAATAAGGTCTCCCCAGAGCCTTCTCTTCTCCAGGCTGAACAACCCCAGCTCTTTCAGCCTTTCCTCATAGCAGAGGTGTTCCATCCCTCTGATCATTTTTGTGGCCCTCCTCTGGACCCTCTCCAACAGTCCTACGTCCTTCTTGTACTGAGGACCCCAGAGCTGGAGGCAGTACTCCAGGTGGGGTCTCACCAGAGCAGAATAGAGGGGCAGAATCACCTCCCTCGCCCTGCTGGCCACACTTCTGTTGATGTAGCCCAGGATACGGTTGGCTTTCTGGGCTGCGAGAGCACATTGCCGGCTCATGTCCAGCTTTTCGTCTATTAGTACCCCCAAGTCCTTCCTGGCAGGGCTGCACTCAATCCCTTCATCCCCCCGCCTTTATTTCTAACTGTATTGATAACCTTATGAGGTTCTCACAGGACCATTTCTCCAGCTTGTCCAGGTCCCTCTGGATGGCGTCCCGTCCCTCAGGCGTGTCGACTGCACCACTCAGCTTGGTGTCATCTGCAAACTTGCTGAGGGTGCACTCGATCCCACTGTCTATGTCATTGATGAAGATATTGAACAGCACTGGCCCCAGTACGGACCCCTGAGGGACACCGCTTGTCACTGGTCTCCATCTGAACATTGAGCCATTGCGCAAGGCTTCTCACTAGCCAGTTGTTTAGTCAGACACAAAGGCTTCTTGTCAAGCCTTAGGACAAGAATATGACCTGGAAGTCCCTAGTTCCAATCCTTATTCTGAAAGTATCTCATTATGTGGCTTTAGTGCAAGTTATTAAACTCTTTGCCTCAGCTATTGCTCTGTGAAATGTAGATAATAATACTTGCCCGTCCCACAGGGGTGTTGTGAGGTTAATTAGTCACTGTTTGTAAAGTGCTTTGAAGATGAAAAGCACTACGTAAAAGCTAAGTTTGTTATTATTGAGGGGAATTTACACATAGTTCAGACAGGTGCTGTAAATACTCACTGCTGGCTCAGGGTATTTGTCTTGTAGCTATGAATTTACACAATATAAAACATAAAATGCTGTCTACTACCAAATAACTGATATTCTCATCTGTCATAATTCATGGTACAAAATGAAAGAATTATGGACTAGCTGCCAGTTCAGAACAATAAATTGTCTTTTGATGGGGAGAAAAAAGATGGGTTCTGTGGGTATGTTCATTTTCAAAGATTGAGTAAATAAAAATATCAGTTTCTGACACTGATTGATGAGAACTACACAGCAAAGGCATGTAAAAGGATTTATGACATCTGAAAAGAACAAAGCTGAAGGCAACTTGTTTTGATGTGTGATACGAATTAAAATACATCAAGCACTTTGAAATATTTAACAGATAGGTGTTGCCACATCAGGGGAAAACTAAATAAAGAAAAATGTCCCTTACGTGCTCATGTAATATTTAATCTTATATGTCAGTGGTTAATAAATGCACATCTAGTGATTCAGTATAACTGCCAAACAAATGCAGGAAGATTCTTTTTTAGAGACTGTTGGCTTAGCTTACAAAACTGGTATGCTGGACACTAATTTGGTTTTACGCTTGTTTTTTTTTCAAGATGGTGGAAATGGTGTGCCTGCATGTGATTAGTTTAATGGAGGCTTTACAGGAATGCAACTCTACTATCTTTGTAAAGGTAGGCATACCAAACTATGAAAATTTAGTTAATGATGTTGCCTGTCTATTGTGATTTCTAGACATGCTGTCCTCTGCTTCCTCTCCCGCTCAAAAAAAGAAAGTGGAAGAAGCTGAGGTTGAATGCTAAGGCAGAAATAAAACCTAGTAGAGCATAACAAAAAGTAAAATCTCTGGTAAGAAGTAAGACCAGACCATAATCTCAAATCCAAGTTCTGATTTTTTGTAAATGAACTTCTGATCTACTTCCTCTTTATATTGATGCAATGGTCTTACTCCTCTAATAGACTCAACTGGTGTCACTGACTTTGAGAACCTCTAGGTACTGTCTCAATTTTCAGCCATCCTTTAGCTTTTAATCATCGTATGTCCTTTGCAGATCACCTCACTGTTCTGATCCTCACATTCTTTTAGACTGATAACAAAAACTTCGTGCCACAGTGGTTTTCTTATTATATGCCTACATGTCTGACTTACTCAAATATATTTTGATAGTGATTCTTCTTCCCCTAGGATGTGTAACAGGGTATTCTTTGGTTAGAGAATCAAATCCTGCATGCTCCATTCATGTAACATTCTTTTTTTGGAAATCAGTAGTCAGACTCCTGTGGGTCACCACAGCGTTTTCAGAACAGATTCCCAAAGGACTGGGGTAGGCTCACAAGCACAAATTGATTTTACTAGCCCTTTTTTACATTTTTTCCTATTGCGTTATTCTGAAAGGAGTTTTCACATAAAATATCAACAAATCAAGTAGTTAGTTAAACACACTCTGAATCTAACTGAAATATGTTAGTTTATATAGTGCTTCTGTTGCCATAAAGGAAACTTCTGACTGTTGTTTTACTCCCGTCTTTTATGGTCAAGCAGGAGTTGAAAATAAAGTAGCTAAAATTGAAGGTCTTGATGTCAACTGGCATGAAAGTATTCATACTCATCATAAAAATACAGATTTATAGTCAGTAATGACTTGATTCACTACAGAAACTCTGTCACTATGGGATGTTAAAGTGATCATGGCTGTCCCTGGAAGACATATGGGCTTCTCTTTCAGCCAGTCCAGGATGTGCAGAATTGGACAAGGATGAAGAATGGCTGTGAAAACAGAGGCCTTTAGGGCCAAATTCCTGTCACAATTAAAATGAATGCTTTCAGGGGGTTATATTTGAGAGTATATATCAATAATATGCTAAATCAGGTTAAAAGGACGTTGTTATTACTACAAAATCAAGCTCATAAGCCTGTGAAATTCAGAGTTAAGGTGCTAAGCTTTCTTTCATGTTCAGTGGATGAGAGATGGAAGAGAAGAATCTGGGTGACCAAATCCCCTTTACTCAGCCCTACAGTAAAATCCTGCAGGAACAATATACATACGTAATAGCATTATAGGATCCATAGTCCCAGGTTACTAATTTTTTTCAAAACTAACTAATTGTAAAAATATTTATTGTAGATCTGAAAAGTAAGTGTCATGATTTGGGGAAAGACTTACTGTATGTTTGAAGTCCTTCAAAGAGGCAGAAGTGTAAAGCTTATTCGCACAGGAACCAATAAGTGAGTGGCATCTCTATAATTAAAAAAAAAGATCAACTTTGAGACTGTCTCTTCTTCAACAGCATGAAGAAGATGGGAACTTTGTTACTCCTACTTCAGAAGTCTGCAAGCATGACAATTCTTTGAATGTTAGTTGACTAGGCAGATTTTTGGTAGCTTGTTTTATTCTAGACAATCTTTTATTGCCCTGCCTTTGATAATGAAACAATTCTATCTTGTGCTTTAATGCTTTTTTTTATTTTACTTTATTTTAGATATAAGCCTGTCAAACAAGGTGTAGTTTTCACTGAAGGAAAGGCCATAGTGTAGTGAGAGAGGTTTTTTTAAACAGAACATTCTTAACACTCTTTCAGAGATTCATTCAGCAAAATTAATTTCCAATTACTTCCTCTTGGAAGTGAGCACAGTAGCACTGATAAGTCCTGACCATTTATCATTCATATAATTATATTTACTGCGGTGTCTTTTATTCCATCTAAGGAATCAGGTGTTGCAGAAACTTCATTTGTTAATGAAGTCATTGCATGATTCAATACCCACATATTTTTAATGCACCACAAGGAGAAGGTGGTGCATGTCACATGATGCCAGGTGATTTATGGGACAGCTATCTTAGGTGTCCATTTCCTGTATGACAAGTGAGGGGAAAATATGTCCTAAAACAAGAGACAAAGAGAGGACGTAAACAACTCAGCTCTCCTTCACTGAAAGAGCTTTCTTTATCCCCAAGATAAGCACTCCTTCATCTCCTCCTTGTGTTGGTGCTGTGAGGTTACCTCCTGGTACTATGTTGGCCTTTTTGCTACTAAATTAAACACTGGTAGCATTGAGACATGTCTTGATTGCTTTGTATAGTCTTTGAGCCATTCCTTGTATTCTCAGAGGATATTTTTTGGATCTGATGTTAGACTTTCTTTACCAATCTGGTGAGGAAAACAAAGTTTCTTTCCTGTGAAAACATTTCAACCATTATGTATTTATTTTTCTAAGTTGGAGTGAGAGAGAGATACACATTTACATAGATGCACACATAGCCACATATATATTTAATTCATTATATTTTCCGCTGAGGGGAAGTGTGCTGCTTTAGGAGGGCTGAAATGAAAGTGTTCAGCTTTTCTCCTGTTTTTCTGTGTCAAAGGAACTGGGAAACTAGCCATCTCAGGACAGCCATTGATGATGGACACCAGCTCCTTGCTGATCACAGCTGTCTGTCTGACCATCAGATGTATTTCTGAAGAATTTGGGAGCCTACAGTAGTGAAAGGAGCAGCTCAGCAAACCACAACGTCTTTTCCACAGACCCAGGGGTTTTAGGCAGCTTCAGCAGCTGCTGGGTAGACTTCTAGAGAACTGGGCAGGCAGCAGAGTTGGGGAACCAGAAGAGCACAGTGTCCAACCGGTTCTCCAGGCTGGTTTCCATCAAAACTTGCACTAGAATCAACATAATTCTGTTGAAAATATAAACTCCAAAAAATTGACAGTGTCTGACAGTAGTCTGTTCTTCCAGCTGTTCTTTCTAACTAGCTTTATGTATTCTTCCTTTGTGAAGAAAAGGCTGGCTGGGAATTAGGTAATAAAACTCAAGTGTTTCAATAAAAATGTCTTCTTGTCTCATTTATCTAATGGGCAGCTGTAGGAGTGGAGGGTTTGCTTGCTTGTGCCTGCAGCAGAATGTTTTGTTTCCCTAAATGTGTCCAGACTCTGGAAGACAGAAGTGGCGCTGGAGGACAATGATCTGTATCTAACCTTAGACCTCTACAGTGTAGGTATCAATATAACCTAGTTTCTGTGAGTGCCCTTTATAGTCAGTGGAGATAAACAGGTGTTTTTGGACATGATTCATCTTGATCTATTTTAGATACCTGCTTTGGGACAAGACGAACTGGACGTGAGAAGTGCTTGATTCTCTCAGCTGACTGTAAAGGATGTCCAGTGAATTGGTTCAGATGCAGAGGGGTACCCTGAGTTTTCTGCCTAGCTTCCCTCCTTGCTTGACATACTTCTGACACCACTCCTGTCACCACTGGCTAGTTCCACAGGAACTTCATTAAGGCTGGATGAAATTTTCAGTGACATTTTGTTGATGGCAGTGGGGCATGGAGCATGGCTTCTCAGTATGCTTACCTGGTCCCTCCTCTCCAAAAAACACATCAGGACTTGTGGTCACTGGATCTTATTAAGCACTTCGTTAGTGTGAGAGCTCACAGAAGGATGCACAGAACTCGCATGTCTGCTGCATCTGGCTGCATTCCAGCTGTTTTGGCATTCATCTATTTGTAAATGCTGAGGTTTGAATATGGTTTTTCATGTGGTAGACTAAGTAATCAGTCCTGACAGAGCTGCATATGATTCTCCAGCAAAACAGCACTGAAATTGAAACAATTATTGTTCCTTGCACAAGGGAAACAGCACTTTATCTAATGTTGTCAATAGTGATTAGGTTTAATTTGCAGCTCCCGGTAGCATAACTGGCAAATTGCAAATTTTAATGCTATTTGGAGGAACATTTTAGAAGAATAACCTCAGTGGTTAAATTAATATTGGAGAACATGAATACTTTTGCTAGAAATGCCTCTCTGTCTTCCATAAGCTTGTCATGTTATACTTACTCAGAAATAAAAGTTGTCTGAAGAGCAGGAGACCGAAATAGGTATCAGTCCAGTCGTGGGTGACAGATTCGCAGACCTCCTTGCCTTGTCGTTCGGGATAGTTAGAATTTTTACCTGTGCTCCCAGGCCTATAGGTCACATTCTTCAATGAAGCATTGATGTGACTAGTGGCTTATAAAATGCTGGTTATCATTTAAATATCTGGCCTATTATTAGGAACTTCTGCTGCATGTTTTTTCAGTTCTTGATGTATACCTTGCCATGCAGAATGTTTACTGTATTTATTCCAGTATTGCTCACCTGCACATACAGAAACACCCTCACAAAGGAAATAAGAAGTGATTTCCTTTAACAAGTTTTTATTCTGTACTCTCATCGTTGCCTTAAACAGGATATCAGTAATTGCTATTGGTGATTCATCAAGCTGCAAATGAGGGAAGCTGGCATCTTTACCTCTGAGAGTTACCTGCCCCAAAACATATGCATAATTTAAAAATAACCACATTTTCAGATTTGTGGTTCAGGCTATGTCCATTTGGACAGCTAAATGCATTAGATACACCCTTCTCTGTCTCACAGTAACTGGAGCATGTTTACAGTCACTTGTATAATAACAATATATACCTCTCTTACAGCTCATACCAATGTGGTTGCCAATGATACAGTCAAATCTAAAGGTAAGTTGTTTCTAGTACCTTATCCTTTTATTCTTAGTGTTACACATTTCTGTAAATTCTGAAAATAGGATCACTAGATGTGGTCTCCAAACTCAAAATAGATCACTGTAGCATATCCAGATGCACTGGATGACTCAGCCCTGAAGGTCTCAGGTGTGAGCATACACAGAGCATCATCAGCTAGGATGCTTGTCCTGTAGTCAGTACTGCTCTACCTTTCCCTTCTGAAACACTTTCCTCTAACCAGGTTCTGCAGCAGGGCCTTTCCTCCCTGTTTACTGAGATTGGTTGTGGTTTTCTTGATGTCTTAGGCTTGAGAGTCCCCTGACAAATCAGGATTGGGACTCTTGACCCAGGAGATAGACTTTGGTTCTATAGCAGATATTGTGAGCCTGCTTGCTTGGGTAAAACTGTGCCAGCTGGCCCTGTTTGTGAGAGAGAACAAGGTGGATCAGTGTGGGTTGCCAGTCAAGAGAATTTTGGTGATGAGAAGTGTTGGAGTTGGTCTCAGTATGGACTTGTTTCTGTACATTTGCCTTTCATGGCAACACTACAGTGCAGGATGCGGAAGAAAGAAACGTGACGCTGCAGCAGTGGAGGAACTTTCCCTGGCCAACAAACAATACCTTTCACAGTGCTGTATTAATGTATGTGTTAGAGGAAAGAAACTGAATGTTTTGCATTATTTCAACAGCATTTATCTGCTGGACTCCAGCTACGCCTCCAAGCCATCCAGAGCAATGTCAACCATCACAGCCTAAGGATGTTACAGGGGTCAGGACAAATGAACAATAGCTCATCTGTGCTCCGCAAATGGCTACAGTGTACCCAATTTAAAATGGCTCAAGTGGAAATTCAGTCGTCAGAAGCTGCATCTCAATTTTATCCTTTATGATTCATGTAATTTGCTCCAAATGTTCATTTTTAGCCTAGCAATAACAGGGTTAGAGCTGTAAAAGACCTTTTGTATAAATCAGTATACAGAGTATATACTGTATCTATACTTTTTAGCCTGGGACAGATGGTGGAAAAGCTTATAATGGGTGAAGCTAAGAGCCTGATCCTGCCAGTCTTTAATTACCCTTACTCAGGATCAACAGGTTCTCAAGTCTTCATTCACGAACATGTTTTTGCAGGATTAGACTCAAATCTATCACATTGTACATATCTCTCTGGTCATTGAAATATCTTGTTCTTAAATGTTTCTTTACATTATTTTTGAAGCTAAGACAAAAATCACTTTTCTTTAACTTCTATTTTTTTTAAAAATAGAATTGTGGGTATTCACAAACATATGGAAGTGCTATGTTGCTATTTTTTGACAATAACAAAAGAAAACAGGGTTTTTAGGAACCTTTATAGGAGTTTTTTTGGGGGGCTGTCTTTTTTTTTTTAGATTCACAGCTGGCAATGCAATAAAACCTGTCACTATAAAACAGTGGTGTTCTAATGAGGCTTTTTGTCATCATCTTCTGGGAAAACAGCAGCTTGTAAGGAGAGTTATTATAAAGTGCACTTAGAAATTAGGTTGTTAAACTGTGCCAATTCATTTGTCTTTTTCTCAGTACTGTTTTCCAAATCTGCCAAGTCTGATTTATTATTTTTTGAAATATTGCTTTTACTTCATTGATTCTGTGCTGCTCTTCTTTGTAGGTTTCATAGAAACCTCTTTAATTTTGTGACTACTGTATTGTATTCTTCTGTCAATACTTGTATACAGTGCAATTAAAAATGGATATCCTAGACCTATTCTTATTGATGTCTACAGAAATTATGTTGCAGACTTCAAGAGAAGCATGAGTGGACCTGAACTTTTGCATAATGATATTTACAAATCACAGCTTTTGTACACTATGATGTTTAATAACAGATGGATTTTAATATCATTAAGGGACTCAGCCAAAGCCCATTGGAATCTAAGGAGACTCAATTAATTCAGTGCATTTTACATAAAATCTTGAGAGCACCATGATTTACCACTTCTTGTAGTTAATACTTAAATCTGTGCAATCACAGTTGCATTTTCTGTATTTATTCCTGTCATGCACTGATTAGAAGAACAGCAAACACACATTTAAGTTGTGTATTAGAATGCTATTAAATTCTTAGTCTTTATTACCACTCTCAGAATCAAAATTTTTCCTCCTTGACTGCGTGGAAGTGGAAAGGCATACCTGTAAAGAACTGCCTGAGTACATTTCAGTTGTTGTGGAGGGTCAATCTTTCCTCAGTGCATTTACCAAAGAAAAAGTGGAAATGTTTGCAGATATGCCATTAAAGTACCATTACGCTTTAAAAAAACAAAACCCCAAAAAACTAACCAGCCAAATGGACAGTAAAGCGTGTGCTAGCTTGCTTAGAAGGTGCCCCCCTCTGTGTTTTTAGTGGAAAGAAACTGATTTGGCTTTCCTTCCTTCCCAGATTCTCACATTAATATAGTCTAAGCTTAAACTGGACCAGTCTATCCAAAAGAAAATCTGAGATTCATCATAAACTAGTTTTGCTTGTATTTGCTTGAGGTGAGTGACTTGCATCTGACTAAGCAGAGCTTTTGAGTTTCTGGAAAACATTTCTGTTGTGATGTGAAGATTATTAAGAGATCCACCAGATGATAATTTCTTAGTGTTTCAGGCATTGATTTTTGTCATGCTGAATCGAGATTGCACAGACCTGCATGCATTGATAAGGGAGGGCTTCTTCCCAAATTTTCATAGTGCTAAGAGAGGGAAACAGCATTCTTTCTCCAGCTTTTGACTGACTATGGGGAAGAAAGAACAAAGTGATACAGAAATGATTGTACATGTTCCTGTCCCTTCCTTTTTCCACTCCCTTGTCATTTACTAATCAGCTAATAGTCATTACAGAATCACAGAATGGTTGAGGCTGGAAGGGGCCTCTGGAGGTCATCTGGTCCAGCCCCACTGCTCAAGCAGAGTCACCTAGAGCCCGTTGCCCAGGAACATGTCCAGATGGCTTTTGAATATCTCCAAGGATGAAGACTCCACAACCTCTCTGGGCAACCTGTGCCAGTACTCGGTCACCCTCAAAGTAAGAGAGTTTCCTGATGTTCAGACAGATTTGAGGCTCGTCTTGCTACTAAAGACTGAGGCAAAGAAGGCACTCAGTACTTCAGCCTTTTCCATGTCCTGTGTAACCATGTCCCCATCTTATTCAGCAGTGGGCTCACATTTTCCCCAGTCTTCCTTTTGTCACCTGGGTACTTATAGAAGCCCTTCTTGTTGTCTTTGACATCCCTTGCCAGGTTCAAATCCTGCTGGACTTTAGCTTTCCTAACCCCATCCCTGGATGACTGGACAATTTCTCTGCATTCCTCTCAGGATACTCATCCTTGCTTCCACCCTATGTATGCTTGCTTTTTGTGTTTGAGTTTGGCCAGGAGCTCCTTGTTCATCCACACAGGTCTCCTGGCTTTTTTTCCTGATTTCCAACTCATTGGGATGGACTCTGTTGAGCTTGGAGGAGGTTATCCTTGAATATTAACCAGCTTTCTTGGGTCCTTCTTTCCTCCAGGTCCTTGTCTCATGGGACTCTTCTGAGCAGGTCTTTGGAGATGCCGAAGTCTGCTCTCCTGAAGTATAGGGTTGTGAGCTTGCTTTTTACCCTGCTCCTTCCCCTCAGGATCCTGAACTCCACCATCTCATGGTCGCTGCAGCCAAGACTGCCTTTGACCTTCATATCCCCGACAAGTCCCTTGTTGGTCGGTATGAGGTCCAGCAGAGCACCAGTCCTCATTGGCTCCTCTATCGCTTGGGTGAGGAAGTTTTCACTGATGTACTCCAGGAACCTCCTGGATTGCTTATGCCTTGCTGTGTTGCCCCTCCGGTAGATATTGGGGTGGTTGAAGACCTCCATGAGGACCAGGGCCTGTGAATGTGACGATGCTTCTGTCTGTCTGCAGAGGGCCTCATCTACTCGGTCTTGCTGGTCAAATGGCCTATAGCAGACATCCACTACGATGTGACCCCTACCTGTCTTCTCTTTAATCCTTACCCCTAAGCTCTCAGTTGGCTGCTCATCTATCCCCAGACAGAGCTCCATGCTACTGTGTCTCACAGAAAGGACAACCCTCCCCCCTTTTCTTCCCACCTGCCCTTGCTAAGAGCCTGTATCCCTCTGTCACAACACTCCAGTCATGGGACCCCTCCCACCATATCTCTGTGATCCCAGTGAGACTGTAGCCCTGCAGCTGCACGCAGATCTCTAACTCATCATGCTTAGTCCCCATACTGAGTGCATTAATGTACAGGCACTTCAGAGAGGCCCCCCAGCATGTTGGTTTCCCGGAAAGAGTTTTGGGCATTTCTCCAAAATGGTGCGCTGTAGGCGCTTCCTTGCTCACATGCAAAATGCTGGTGGTGATCCCAGTTAAGCCCCGTTTTGTTGATTTTGTGATCCCTTCCTGTCACATCACCTCAGGCCCTTTGGTCATCGAACCTGTCCTCACAGGTCACTCCCTCACAGGGCTGCAGTTCAAAACTGACTGTGTGGTAAGTAGTTGTGACTTTGGCCTTCAGGCAAAAAGGAGCCGTGGACTGTGTTTTCAGTGGGCTGACTCCTTCCGTTCCTGGGCTGTGTCTTCTTCATGCTTGTGTTTGCGATACAGACGATAACTTTGCAGGGTAACCACATAAATAGGGCCCAGGTTGACTTATTGTGGGGTCTGGGGTCACCCTAGTGAAATGGAAGTGCTATTGGGCCCCTGAAAGCGGGACATACAGGAGAGAGATTCCTGTATTTTGATCTGCTGTGACCTGGTGAATCTGAAAGACAACTGAAAGGCAATGAGAGGGAGGGAATATGAGGCCCTTGGGTGTGAGGTGGGTGAACTCAGGTGGGTATAATTGGGATTGTGGAAACTTAAAGGTTGAAGACAGATGATTTGCAGGGAAGAGCAGAGCCTGAGAAAGTTTGTCTGTAAAAGTCACTTGTAGAAAGTAGAAGCCATGATCAGGCATCTCACTCAGTGGATAATGAATGTAGGCAACATGGCATAAGCACTTTCCTTGCCTAGCTTAATCTCTCCCTCAAAGCATCTAGTATTCAGACTGGCAAAATAAAAAAAAAATTGCAAATATAGCGGTGGATAATTAATAAGCCAAAACCAGACCTGCTGAATCCAGGTCCATAACTAAACACTTTAAGACTTTGTGGGAATTTAGATTTGGTTTCATCTCAGGGTTTAGAGATAAAAGCTGGTCACAGAACCTACTTTCATACCTGAACATAGGGTTTAGTATGCATCTGTCACCGGTTATAATATGGTTCTTACAGAGGTGTTATATGTAGGCAAATGACAACTGTAAATACGAATTGAGAAGCTGCTTTAGCATAGAGAACACAGCCTGGAAGAGGGCATGACTGATGATTAGGGATGTGTTGACTAATAATAACAAATAACACGGGGCTTGACCACATGTGCGTGGCTTCAGACCTCATGAAAATCTCTAAGTGCACTCTAGGCATCTTCAGAAGTACAGATATCTGCATTAATTGTTTTTAGAAGCACTGTAAAATATATCTTTACAGTGCCTGAGGTCAATATACAACTCAAGTGAGTCACTCACATTATCTCTCTGAAATAGCCCAGAGCAGCAATTCTTTATATTATGTAGGAAGATTAGGAAGTAAACAACATTTGGTGTTCCCTGAAAATGCTATCAAATAGCAGAGGCCGATCTTCCTGCTCTGCCACGCTCCCAGCACGGCTGTGTCTCTGGGGATGTGTCACCAGGAGCAGAATCCACCCTCTGTCTGATCATACAGAGCTGCCGTTTAGGAACAGCGTTCAGTCATCTGTTGCAATAAGCTGCTTAAATCAATGCCGGTTACCAGGCCTGACCTAGTAAAAGAATCAATTTACTGTGTGCTGAACTGTGACATTTTCAATAACATGGGGCACTTTGGGTGTGGTGACGGTTAAAACCCCACACCGGCCGTGGTGCGTCGTGCCGCTGAATTACGTACCTCGGTGTCCTGAAGGCGAGGTTAACATCTACGCTGGGCACCTCAGACTGCTGTCCTGCCGCCGACGCAGAAAGCCGCTGTCTGAGCTACGTGCAGGACCACACAAAGAAGAGGCTTTTGCAGCATGTCAGTTACTATCTACACATGTGCCTTACCTTATATGTAATATTTCTGTGACGTCTCATTAGAGCCGCGGCAGGGTCAAAGGCCCTACAAACACACAGCCGGTTTTCTGGCTCTGTTTTTCATGCTATGACAGGACTCGATGTGCTCTAGGACTGACGAACGTTCTGGGCCCGAAGATCTCTCTGAACTCTGGTCTGCACAGCCGCCTTTCGTGCTGGATGATTACCAGAGCCCAGGGCTGTTTAGTCTTTGCTGGCGTGTTCTGGAGAAGAGCTCTGCAGCAAAGGCTCCTGTGCTGCTCTCCCAGCTGCACACTACTCCGGGAGAGCTCACCTATGGTTTTTCTTGTTGCGTCTTAATGTGACTCTTCAGCAGGGCCAAAGTCTATACTTTTTCAGTCGCATCTGAATCTTGGTTGCACGAGGCCCATTTAGTCAAGGATGTGGGTCTTCGTCTTAGCAGTCTGCCTAAGATCAGGTGGAGGCAACAGCATTACAGTTGGCTTAAAGTTGACACGCCGTTTGTTTGGCTTGATGCAAATTTGAAAGGAAGGGCTCTGCATTTGTCTGTTGATTTGTAACTCTGAATTACTCCATTCCCTTCTGCCTCTCCCTGCTGAGCACAATTTCAGCTGGAGGCTGAGCATCAAGGGACGGCAGTGAGAACAGCAATTGGAGGGGAAGGTGCCCTGATGCTTCCTCAGCTGCAAAGGGATCAGGCAGAGAACCTGAACCCACCCTTGGCATCACCCCCTGCCCCAGTGCTTGCTGCTGGGCAGTCAGGGGCCACCACTGGAAATGCCTTGGGTCAGGTAACAGAAGGCGAGGTGAGGATGAGGCCTGGCCAGCCAGGTGAGCGGCTGTGGTGCCTAAATCCTGCAGCTGGGAGCGGGGGGGCTTCGGCTATTGCTGTGTGTGCTCTGTGTATCCTATCTTGTGTGCAAGGAGCAGGAGGTTGTGAAGAGCTGGCAGTGCTTGGGAAGGGTGGCTGGTTTCTCATTCATAGTTACG